ACATCCTGACTGACCAAGATTACTTTACAGAATGTTGTATACATGTATGTGTTCAGATACACCTTGATCAAGATGTAATCAGTTATACTTATTATAAGACAACAGTATTAGGCTTTTTTTTTTAAACATTACATTCTTAATTAGTCTGTTAGACTTTTTCCAAGAAGAAGAATGCAAATTGTATTTTAACCATACTTTGTCCACCATATCCATAGCTGACAGAATGTTTCTCTCAATACACAGCTCATAAAGCTGGCTGAAATAAAACAAACCCACTGATTGTCAGAATGTTATTTATATCAGTCATATATTAGAGTATCAATTTTTATGGTGTGAACATCTTTTGCTGATGAAGTATGTTTATCATAAGATCATTGTTTTTGGCTTATTGTATTTTTAAACACTACCTGAAAGTAACTATGAGGCATCATTAGGTTGACTTGAAATACATCACACAATACATACATAATGCCACAACTCAAAACAACAAATCACCTAAAGACTCAATAGAGAGAAAAACAAAACACCGTTTACAGCAACTCCTGTGAATATGGATTCCATTAAGTTAAAGAAACAAAATGATGAATGAAAGTTAGAATTCTGGAGCATTATTAAGAACCAAAACTGTAATACAAAACTATCTGCTATAGCCCATTATGAGAAAATGGAATAACACTAAAATGATAGGATATGAACCACACATGGGAAAAAGACAGAACTGCCTGATAAAGTTATTCAACATGTCATAAAAGTCAGCAAAAGCTGGATACCTCTCTTGAAAATATTCAAATAATTAGTTGATTCAAGCTCTCATACCAGCCACTACCATCACAGAAGTAGCCTTCTCAAGACTTCCCTGAGGGTGGCAGCAGATTAGCAGCTGAAATGTTAGTAATTATTATATAGTTCAAAAAATGTAATAATAATTATGAAATTGCTAATAATCAGACTTAGTTGTCCATATAGACTACTAACCATAACAATGTTTGATATCCAACTGCTAAACTTTAACATTAGTACTAATGCAAAACCTCTGTTAAAATGCTGTTTGTATTGATTTCCAATCTATCAATTATTATGGAATATAATGTGCTGGAGAAGCGTGGTGGTAATTCCAATAATTCTTTCTCTACAGGACTATACAATCACTCAATAGAACATGCTTTATCTATAGAAGGCTTTATATAAACTTCACTATTAAAACAAAGCAGTTACTATACTGTGTTCTTGATTTAGATATCTGTATTATTGTTTTGATCAGGGGGACAATTGGCATCACGTGATGAGTGTGCAACTTAAGTTTTCCAAAATTTGAGAAGTATAAAATGTGAGTTATTCTAGAATACGTTATTATTGAGTTCATAGAGTCAGCAAATTACTGAGATAAGAGGCTGGCAGGGGTGGCACATGTAAAAGGCCTGGGAAGGGTTAGCCTCCCCAAATGGGTGAAGAGAGAGAGAGTTCATTTCTGACTGCCCAAGGGGCAATCCCCCTTGAACACCTGTTTTGGAGAAACAAAAATAAAATGTCCATTGAAGAGCATAATTCTCACCAACTCAAAAATTTTATGTCAGTATATGTGACAGAATAGCCTATCCAAACAAAAAAAACTCTCATGTTGCCTATGGACGTTTTCATTCTTCTTTTTACCAAACATGCTCAACAATAAAGTCCATTTAAACAGTATATAACTACTTCATACTCTACAACATGAGAATTACTAATAGAATAGTTATCACAATTTTTATCTTTATTTAACAATTGTTTAAAGTTTGTATGCAGATGAAAATCGGTGTCAGTCATCAGTGTATTTCTGTAGTGGAGTGTAAGATTCTTTCCTCAGCCAAAAAATACAACTGAAAGAATATGCATTGAGCATTGGTCTGTCTTCTTCAGGTATAATCTGTGAACATTGGTCTGTCTTCTTCAGGTATACAAGGCTTATATATCGTTACAAAGACAAAAGACATAAAGATTAACTGTGATAGAAATGGTATCAGCAGGTGACAGGATATAGGTAAAGGTCAAGTCTGGTCAAGTGTATGAATAGTGAATGGACCTCACCAAATAAGATGCAAAGAACACCAAGTTTACATACGTAGAGGTGAATTCCGGATATCTGCTTTAACATATCACCAGCATGAAACAGGTTACAAAATACTTTGGGATGAAATTTTTCTCCTACACCAACCCAAAACTAAAAGAGAAAAAGACAACAATATCTCACTAAACCATGGTAATGGCCCTGCAACATCAAACATATTTAGCAGGTCTGTTCACCATTCATTGACCTTTACCAATATCCTTTCACCTGCTGACACCATTTCCATCTCATTTAATCCCTGTGTCTTTGTAATGATATATATAAACCTTGTATTACTTAGAACTGATCATACCTGAAGACAGACCAATATTCTTTCAAAACACGTAGTATGTTCTACCACCAATAAAATTCTTCCTTATTCTTATAAATTGTTGTCTGCCTACCTGTTACTAACAGATGAATGTCATGTATTGATTATAAGAAAAGACAAATTAACATTCTCCATTCTTTGCCCAAGTACTAAACTTACAGTGGTGGAAAAATTATTGCATCACCCAATTTTTTTCACTTTTCTTGGTTCCTGTATTTTTTTTACAAGAGTGTGCATTGTGGAAGTGCCAGAACTAGTGTAAAACGTTATAGTCATTGTGTGGTATATGCTGAGTTATACTTCAGTCATCCAAACACATACATGCATCTTTATTAATAAACCAACTGTGTCAAATGTATTACAGTATTTGATTAACAAATACTTGGCAAATATGAAAATGTGCTCTGAGTAAGAAAAACTAGATTTAAAGATAATGCCATGGCACAGAGTGCACAAGGGACTGAATGTAGGCAGGGGTGAGCTCATGATGCCACACATAGATTAGGGAATTCATGCAGCTCCAAATGCTTCTCAGTTTCTTCTCTTGCACTTTGCTACCCATTATTTGATCTGGGTTGTTGCATGGTCAGCATAATGACTTGATCCTCTCACTATAAAGATAGTCCTTCACCTGAAGCAATAAAGCCTAATATGTCTTTTTCAATGCATGTAGAGTGAAATATCTTCTTTATTTCCCATCTACCAATCTTTTTACCTGTGTGGCATAGAGCAGAGTCATCCTGGATTGTGCATTGGTCAGCTCCACCAAAGTTATCCCGAATTTTTGGCCTTAACTGGGACTCGAGGATCTTGATGTATTTGTCAGCATTGACAGTGTCACAAAATTCAGGCATCGCACATCCTGGACAGAGATTCATCCCCATATCACTTGACTCTGTGGATGCTACAAAGTTGCATTCAAACATGCTGGATGAAACTCTTCTCCACATTGACGTTGTTACAAAGTGCTTCCCATCAGACTCATGCAGGTTGAAGTTTGATTCATCCGATAAGATCACTTTGCTCTACATTGCTTCAGACTTGCCAGGAGACTGACTGAATACAGGCAAGACCAGACAGTGTGTGTGGTGGCAGTGACCCTTGAAGTTTCTTGCCATGCTCTTCTGAGATCTTTGGATGACAGTCGATGATTTGCATTTCAGAACACGCTCTTCAG